AGCGCGGCCGGTACTAAAATAGACCGGAACGAGGCTGACAAAGTGATGACTTTTGGCCTGGGGAAGAGGCGATGCATCGGGGAGTCCATTGGCCGGTTGGAGGTCTTCCTTTTCCTGGCGACCTTGCTTCAGCAGCTGGAGTTCAGCCTCTGCGCCGGGGAGGAGGTGGACATCACTCCTCAGTACGGCCTGACAATGAAGTACAAGAAGTGCAAGCACTTCCAGATTAAGAAGCGCTTCCCGGTGAAGAGCTCTCCATAAGCTGCGGAGCCCTGGGAGGAAGTACCACTTTGCGAAATAAAGCCAGCCTTTTGAGCCAGACACTGGGACTGCTTTAGCTAACGCTCTCTAGAAGGAGCTGCTCCCCAGCCAGCACAGCCGGTCACTGGGCCGCCTCACTGGGGGCTCGTTCATCTCTCATGTAAATGCGAGCGAGCGCACAGGGACGGATAAAGACGGCCTTGTTGGGCTCAGTGCGCCTCGAGGAACGTGCTTGCTCCTCGCATCCCTGTTAGCCTGGAGGAGAGCAGAGCAGAGATTCGTCGGGCCGATTTCTCAGAACGTCTTTGCAACTTGCTTGCGAGAGGGCATGTCACACCTCCTTGTGAAGGGCCCTCTGGCATGTAAGGGCAGCACAGGCTTCTGCCCAGGTGAGCGGCAGCTGGGGCGTTGCTGGCTGGCTAAACCCACCCCTTGCCCATGAAGTATCTCAAGCGTAGCCATTTGGAGTGCACGGTCATACAGCTAAATGTCGTGAATATAAATTCATGAAATGCACCAACCCTTAGTGACAGTCTGACTACTAGCAAATATATATATATATATATATATATGTTATACACACACACATACATCTAGCTGTTCACAAATCTGAGATGTTATTAACTCAACTCTCAACAATAAGCCTCCTGGAAAAAAATCAAAAGAATGAGGAAAAAGGGACAAAAACCAACAAGGGAGACAGTAAAATGCTTCTTGCTTTTGGACTATGCATTGTTGCTATTTTAACTCCTCTTTTACTTATTTGCAAAAAAAAAAAAAGATTTATATATTCAGACTAATACAAAGAGTAGGGCTTTAAAGACGGCAGGAGCTACTCTGCCCTGCTTTTCAATCTGCTCAGCTCGTGTGAGGACAAATTATAACGGCAAATGGAACAGCAGTTCCTGCCTGTTTTTGCCTTTTTTTTTTTTTCCCTGCGATCTGTATGGGATGCATCTGTATGCCGAAATGTTATCTGCATTGCACAATGTTTCTAACCAATAAATACTAACGGGCAAGTTTCTTGCTTGGTTCTTGCTGGTCTTATTCTCCTGGGGAAAGATCTGGGCGGGGGGGGGGGGGGGGGGGCCCCCCCCTCT